AAAAAAAAATCCCTTCAAGTTCACCTCATCAATTTTGTTGACATAGGGCCTACGGAGGTAGAATCTCTAGATCTAGATCTAGATAGTCTATCATGAGTTTAACTAAAGTATTACACTATTAGATCTAATCATTTCTTTCTATCACTTGAAGTACTTGTATTCCTGTTTTCCAAGCAGTGATATGTTGTTTGAATTGCAGTTAATTTAAAATGAATGTTTAGAAATAAATTAATGTTTTATGGTAGGTCCCTACTCTCTAGAGTGACATCCTTGTAGATCTAGACTAGAGTCTAGAGGCCTAGGCCTAAGTAAAAATGAAAAATCGATGAAATTCGAAAATACTTTCATGGTAGCTCTAAAAGAGATATTCCGGAAGTCAAGTAAAGTCGTTCTTATTTTAGATCGCCGTCATAAGAGATAGGTAGTGGGAGCTAAGTGCTAAAGACAAAAGACAACCGACTTCATTATTGTATTATTGATCTTTAGATCAAGTGTTTTGTGAGTTCAACAGTATTGTTTGTAGATAGTTATCAAGACATATCATATCAAAATGATTAAATTGTTCTCTCTAAAACAACAGAAAAAAGACGGAGAAGGCACCCCAGAGAAAGGAAAAAGAGCTTCTGCTGCACAGCTGAGAATCCAAAAAGGTGAGGCTGGACTGATTTATCTAATTAAATCTTAAGTTTTCATTAATAAAAAGTGGCAAGAAGAAGGCTTCCTTTTTGGTTTGTCAATTGCCCACATGATCGCTCCATTACTGGACTGTTTACCACATGATTTGATATGACTAATCTCAAATGCCTTAAAAGTTTGGTAGCCAACAACTTCTCATCAGTGATCTCAGTTCAGCCTTGGACAAGTCAAGTTTAACTCCTTTCAGTTGTATTTCCTTTTCAATGACAATGGAGTCTGATACGACGATATAATATAATATAAGGGAGGACTTCCGTAACGAGCAACCATTATGAGTTAGAGTATAATAGAAGGCTAGGGATAGGGTTAGGGGTAGGATTATTAGGCTTAGGGGTAGGTCTCTTTATGTGTTTGTTTGGGCGGTCGCTTGTTACGGAAGTCCTTCTTAATATAATATTCAAGGCCTCCATACTATACTATTATAATATAATAGGATAGAATAGGCTATCGTAATTATTATTAATTGCTTCTCTCTAGATTAATATCTAATGATAAACTATCATGCAGATGTCAGGGCAGTGATGTCAGGGCAGTGATGTCAGGGCAGTTAATTATTATTAGAGTGGGAAGTAAACACATGAAGCTGCAGCGAGTACCTAGCAGTCCTAGCACACCTCTCTGATTGGCCCGCTGGGATGTAAGTCTTCCGGCTTTTCCGTTTTTTCCGGCCGACTTGCCTTTTGGGCCCCGGCTTTTAACAAAAGTCTATACAATAACATATATTATATATATTACTAAATAGAGATATTTGTTGTAATAGAGGGAAAGAAACAAATATCATTTGAGTAGTCTTCTGCTTCTTGCACGCGCCATATGTTTTCCGGCTTTTTTTCAAAACCTGTTTACATCCCTGGGCCCAAATATAGATGAATTTCCGCCATCTATTTTTGTCTCGTTCCTGGATTTCCATCTAGACTTTTGGGTTTCCCTCACCAGTAACTGTCGACCAGATCTCGCGGTGTTTGTTTGTTTAAAACAAATTAATTTAATATGTTATCTTTTATAAACAATCTCAGCAATTTTCTTTCCATAAAATTACCTTCTCCTCAAAGTTGTACACACATACGCACACCCGCACACACACACACACTCACAAAAGCGCTCGCATACACACACACACACAAGCCTGCGGGCACACAGCCCAAGCTGTCGACGATGAAACCTGAGCGACAAAGCGGGTCCCGCCAGGATGAAATCTAGTCAGCTGGCGAGGGAAGCCCGGAAGACGACAAAAAATAGATAGAGGAAATACGTCATCTATATATTTGGGCCAATCACAGAGGTGTGCTAGGTGCTCGCTGCAGCTTCATGTGAAGTAAGCTTTTAATGTAGTGTTCCTCTGTTTGCAGATCAGGGATTTCTTAAATGAGACAGTGAAGGATACTGCTGCTAAGCTAGGCATAGACCTTGTTGAATAATGTTTACCCTGCATACTGTAGTCGAAACCATCATAAAAGCTATGTTTCTAACACAGATATAAGCAACTTAGTGAGTAGCATTATATTTTGTTTTTGCTTGTGTGTGGGCCTACTGTAAGAGAAGAGAAAAGCTATAAGTAATAGCCTACATACGCGATTGGGTCGAGTCAGGTCGAACTGGTAGTCTGGGCTAGCTAAATTGAGGGGGCAAAGCAGGCATCGTGGCCCAAACGATCGACTCAGTCGGTGACCTACAAATACGAACAAGTTCCTTTTCAGGCCTTTGAATTGCGCGAACCGATGGTTTGCAGTCAATCACAACAAGGTTCAGTCACGTGTCCATGTTGACACTCAAAATACGGTGGCGCCCTGTTCGAAAAAGTGCAGACTTTGTGAACAGAGTTACCCTACTTATGTGAAAAACAATAAAAACGAAACTAACGAACTTTGCTATTCCTATTCTTATATTCTTCTGGCGAAACGAAAGAGAGCTTCAAAACAAAGACTGTTGCACCATCTGAACCAATGCGCGGACTTCGCTGACACTTTTTTGGCCGGGTGAACTAGACCTATCTTCTTATGAACGATCTTTGATAATAGAAAGTTATCGACTTATCTGTTGTAACCACGTTTATGGGGTTCCAGGCTACCGCAGCACTGCAACAGGGAACTGTGGAAAGGAGCCCTGGAAGCCATTGAGGTTAAAGGTTTCTCTACTTTAACTTCCAGGTCGTTGGGAACAATTGTGGCAGGGTTGTAGAGTGCACTGAAACCACCAGAAAGCGACCCGACCCGATCTGCTCTCACTAGTGGGCGCCCCATATAAGACTTTGCGTTATGGTTCACATCATGCCAATATATCAACTATTAACACTTTCCCTATGCAGCTGCAAAATACGGCTTGAGTGGCTCGCTATCTATTCCAATCCAGTAATGAAAAGGTTCAAAATTCTCGGTCGATCCACGTTTTCAAAATAATAGAATAGACTTCCTGTTAGCAGATATGAAAAAAAATATAGCACTGAGAGATGATTTTTATTCATTTCAGCGCCTTTTTTTTGTCCCCCTTAGAATCGTAAAAGTGAAAAGAAAAACGCTCCCCTGACTTCAGTACTTGTCTCATATTTTTACTTCTTTATAATAGTTACACATACATAACTTTCAGCATTTCTTTGCATAACTTGAGGCAACCTACGTGGGAAGTTTGAATGATGCTGTTGTTGTACTTTTTTAGATGTAACCTTTCAAAGCTGAAAAATTTTTGATTTCATATGACACAATCGATATTGCATAAATCACTTTTAGAAACCCCAAACTAATATAATTGGAATAAATCTTAAATCTGTATCACCATTTGATAGATTATTTTTTAACCTTCTGTTTGACAGGCTATATGATATGGTTTGTATGTGTTTAGTTGAATGTTTTGACATTTTCCTTTAGTGGGGTAGGGGTGTAAAAATAGGTCAGGGAAAAGCCCTGGGCCAGTGGTGGATTTTGGCCTGGTAGGAAAGAGTTAATGCATTACATATAATATTTGCCAGTAGTGTAGGACTACTGTGTCTTCAGAAAATTCAGGTGAACACATATCTATCATCTATTTGAATTGCAGTCTCACCTGCCATGGCAGCCACCTGTACAAACAGCCTCTTTCCTTTTCCCCCCTTGCGTTTTTTCTTTAATGTGGGGTGACACATACAGTCAGACACACAGTTTCACAGCTGGATAGGACACTAGTGACCACCATAAATGGGGCTGGTGGTCCCACAGTGATATAATTCTACTGTGTAGAATGGTCACCTGTCCAATGCGGCCACAGCCACCATATTTTATCAACCAACAACAAAAAATACATTTCTAAGATGTCCAGGCAAATTATTCATTGCCTGATGCTTTTTCATAATTTATTGCCCCCTTACATTGTGGACGAGTTGTCATAAAATCCATTCATCTGTCGCTATTTTTAGTCCATCCAATGGATGAACCGATTATGTTTCGTAGGTCCCTCCTACTGTTGACCAATTGGTAACAATAGATTTTCAGCTGTTGATGAGGTAAGCATGTGATCCGTCAAACACTATTATACCCCTTCCACAACTCGCACACAAATCATAGTGAGATGAGCAGTCAGTGTATTCTCCCAGTCTGTAACAATGGACGTCAACATGAACCATGAACTTGAGACAGAAGCGCTGCTCGTTCTTTGAATGGTGGCGACCCATGTGTTTGTTTTACCACGGCACTCGATCTTCCTTGTCTAAAACATTTCATTTTACCATGGCACAAAATCAGCATCAGAAGAAAAGCTTAGAAAAAAAATCTCTCTTCCCCCCCTGTTTTTCGAAACAAAACAAAACCCCATCTAAATTGCTCTTACGACATTCTTAATTCTGCTGCCACTTTCTGTTGGGACTTCAGAAGGAATGGTTTGTTTTCTTCATTTTGATTAGTCCTTGTTAAGAGAGTTACTTGTCTTATATGGCTGTTTTTCTCCTCTCCAATGGGCGGCCATGTTACACAGATTTGACTATATATACACAGGAGTGGTGTTTTCAATTCACCATGAGATGAGCTCTTGTTCAACTTTAGATCTTTAGTGTGGTGTTTTATTTTCCCTTTAAGCTATAGCGTTTTTCTTTGTTTTCATTTTGTAAATATGATAAGTTATTAAAGTTGTTCACGGCAGCAAGTTTTGTCACCCTGCTGCTTTTCAGCTGTTTTCACTCTGTTATGGAACTTTCAATTACAACGATGTCCACTTGTAACTAGCAACCCAGATCAGAACAACCTCCGCTTACCAGAAAGCAAAGCTTGTGTCATGGAATTTTCCTTTATAGACCCCTGTAACAGCAGCCTTTCCCATCAGCAGAAACCCTTGTTGCTGTAAATTATCCAACAAACTTTTTTTTTCGTGATTGAAATAAAGTGAACATGAAAAGTGACCTGTAATTTCAGCGTGCATGTATCCCCCCCTCTTTCTAGTTAATCTAATCACAACACCTGCTGGGGACAAAAATACGCCACTGAGTGCATGAACTCAGTTCACATCCTCTCGCCAAGAATCGCCTGCCTTCAAGAGTCTCCTGTGTGGGGGAGAAAAGTCTCGGTCAGTGTGCATAACATTATTGCTCTGCCATCAAGCTCACTTGAAAGGACAAGATCTGGTCAAGCCTGAGATACTGATGCTGCCTATGTAAAAAATGTATTTGTTTCTGAACTAACAACATCATCACATCCTGCCTTTAGGAATCGTGCATGCACACACACATGTTCATGTTTGTGCATGTGAGAGAGAAGGGGGGGGGGGGGATGTGCATGTTATCTTGTTTAGAGGTAGTTTTAGGGTGTGTAATCATTTTCAACATTTTTTTTTCAAGTCTCTTTTACAACCAAGTTATAGTTTGTTGAAGCTCCCACTCATTTGCTTTACTTCCTTATTTGCTTTTTTCCAGACATTAATGAGCTGAATCTCCCAAAAACATGCCAAGTGGATTTTCCAGATCCGGATGATTTGTTGAATTTCAAAGTCGTCATTTCGCCTGACGAGGTATGTTGCAATCTCATTGTAATTGTTGTCCAAGTGTGTATATATTTAAGATTTAGAAAAGACCTCCATAAAAGTGTAAGTTCATTATTTACTGAATGGGACTACTACTGGGATAGTATGAATTATAACTGGGTTGGTATAAGTTATGGCTGCTCCTCTGTTCTTTGAATTGAGTACTGATGCTATGTTTAACACTGATTTTATTATAATAGAAAAAGACTAGAAAAGGTTGAGTTGCTGTCATTATGGCAGCTATAAAGGATGCCTTATGATTTCTCCTGTGCTTAGCGTTGGTGTCCTTTTATGTCTCATGACTGCTCTTTAAGAGGCTTGTTTGATGCTCATAGATTTTTCGTATAAAAGAAATACTGCGTCTGCTAAAAATATGAACTATTGATTTTCTTGTTTCTCATCCGCGTTATAACAATTAAAAAGTCTGAGATGGCTAAATGGGACAGGGTTTTTAGACATTAAAAGTGCCTCTTTTTATGATGATGATGATGGAGGAAGCCGATGCTTCTCACAAGAATGTGTTATATTATGATTAAAATTAATTTGTGCTGATTTAGAGGATAACAGGCGTTCACAATCATTTCTATGCTGTCCAGGTATTTTTTAATATTTTGAAATGGTCCTTGTTGTACAAGAGCTAATTGAGTAAAATGGTTAATGTTTGAGATGGGCTTCCACAAAAAAATGCAATCTGTGGTGTGTAATTTTGATGCCATACTAGGACTTATTTCTGCTAAGTTTAACATCTCATGCTGGCTGTGAGGAAAAGCAGGGTCTATTGCCATCCCTGGACACTCTGATCAAGTCATCTGGTTGTTTCAGACGTAGGTTTCAGTACCGAAAACTGGCTGCTTGAAGTTGAAGTTTTCTTAACAAGGGAAGATAAAGTCTTAGTCCACGCATGTGTAAGACCATTACTATTTACTTGTTCAGGAAGATGGTTACCAGTTTATCACATATTATTGGATGTAATTTTACTTAAAATCGCTACCTCTTCAACTCTGACCGTTACTTATCCTTTGCGCTTTTGGTTTTAGCTGATCAAGGAATGATTTTAAAGAATATTTAAATATCTCTTATTTTTGGTTTCATCGCAATCTAACAATTTTCTTTTTTCTTTTCAGGAGTTTTATCGTGGTGGTCGCTTTGTGTTCAGCTTTAAGGTTGGTCAAGGTTATCCGCATGACCCTCCCAAAGTAAAGTGTGAGACTATGGTTTACCACCCAAACATTGACCTGGAAGGAAACGTCTGCCTCAACATTCTCAGGTACCTTGATAACTAACATCCTTCTCCCCTGCTAGTCTAGGAGAGGAGATTCCTCCTTTCCTTGTTTTTTGCTTGGAATCTTTCAAATTGTTTTCAAAATCCAAGGTTTTTTTTTCTTCTTCTGAAATTCTGATTCCCATCAGTACTGCAGCCATTGTCCTGATTGTAAGGAACAGTACACTCGTGAGTGTAGAATTTTAGAGACTTGGGAGGGTGACCATTTGGTGAAGTTTTATTTTCTGTTTGTTTTACTTTTCTAATTTTTTGTGACTATAGACAGAGGTAGGGTCAGTCAGTCAAATGCCTTGTCATGTGAATGATACCGATTGTATGACGGGGATGTGATGGCGTATTTGTTTATTGTGTGCTTTTATTTTACTTTTGCTTTTTTCCGCCGCTTATACCCTTTTGAGTGTTGCGGGAAGAAAGAGACGTCTCTCTGCCACCAGCCCGAGAGCTTGGGTGAGGGGGGTGCCATGAATTGTTAGTGTTTCCCTGACTCCATCTATCCAGGTCGTTTTCGGACGCCCTCTAGCCTTGTTGCCATTAATTTTTTTTTATATAGGCACATTGTGCAGTATGGTATGTTGGTAGTCGCATGAGATGTCCGAACCATTTGATACTTTGGTTTTGGATGTGATGCATGACACCATTTGTGCCCTCCATTTCTCTGACTACTGAGGTTCTAATTTTGTCACACCTGGTCTTGTTTACTGCTTCTCTAAGACTTCGCATTTCACATCATGTTGTAATTCCTTGCTCCAATGTCTTGTTCGTGTTCCATGTTTGGCATTGATAAGTTAGTGTTGGGATCAATATGGTGTTGATCATTGCGAGTTTTGTTGTCATGGGGATGTTAGGATGTTTCAGTAGTGAAGCAAGCTGGTAACTAACAATATTGGCTTTGGTTTTTGTACTTGTGTTTCAATTTCTCTGTTCAGTCGCCCATCCTCTGTGAATATACTTCCGAGGTACTTAAATTCTTGAACTGTCTGAGACTGTTGTTGTTGGTGTGTATCCTGAGTGGTCCTGGATTTGTCTGAGACTGTTGTTGTTGGTGTGTATCCTGAGTGGTCCTGGATTTCTGCTTACTTTCATTTGTCTCTGTTTTGTTGATGTTGATCTTCATGTCGTAGTTGTTACATTCTTTGTTTAAACTGGTGGTATAGTGTTGGAGACTTGTTCATCTTTGTGAGTTAGGTTTTGGTCATTAGCGAAGAGTAATTCATTTAGGGCGTCTGGTTCTGTGCTGGCCTCTTTTGTAAGTCTATCCATATGATAAATAGTAGTGGTGATAGGACACAACCTTGTCTTACTCCAGATGTTATCTCGAACCATTCTGTGAGTCCTTCTGACATTCTTACTGTTTATTTAGTCAAAACGTATTATTTGATATTATGACTGTGTTTATGTTGATCTTCTACAGAATTATGATTATTTAGCAGGCTATTCTGTCACTGCAAACAATACTATTTGTACTGTGTTTTTTTCTATATCACTGATAAGTCAATAATATTTATTCTGTTTGACAGGGAGGACTGGAAACCTGTGTTGACTATCAACTCAATTGTGTACGGCCTCCAGTATTTGTTCTTGGTAAGTCTCTGTGTTGTGGTAATTATGTTAATAGTCACATATGTTTTGTGAAATAGTCTTTCACAGTGTGAACAAATCTTCCGTTATTGATAATTAATTTTAGTCCTGTATTTTGTTTTTACCAGCTCTAAGAAAAAGTACTTAGAGCATTTTATTTGATTTGTTTTAAATATTTTTAGTGAGAACTCTTTTCTCCCAGAGACTTACCAAATAAGCCCTGAATAGTTTGATTTCATTCTTGTGTAGAGGAGGACTGTTATCCTGTGTGTCCATTCATAAGTAGTCTCCGCGTAAATGCACAGTGCTCGGAAGGGCTCCTAAGCATTTGTTTACACGGAACATGCGTTTACGTGAAGCTGTGCAAAGCAAGAAAGGGGCGCAGCCATCTCAATTCCTTGATATTTTAGTGACCACCTTTGTAGGGTGGGCGGTCGCCTAACTTATATGGTAAAAGAAACTGTCATATGACGAAAATATGCGTTTGAGCGGACCGTGCCTTTGTATAGCCTGCGTTTAGGTGGAGACTAATGTAACTAGATATAATACTTTTGTAGCTGAGACAGGTGAGACACGGACATCTAAGTATTCTAAGGCTTACCTGTAGTGGTAGCTATTGAACGAAGCTTGCAGCCACCCTGCGTTGACCTGGGCAGATGTCTAGTTCTGACTGTATCATCTCCAGTTTATGAAGAAGGCACTGAAATAATGTGGAGAAGATGATGGGAAGCCAAAAATGCTTTATAGCCAAAATAAATGTGAAATAACAATCTTGATATTTGATAAAATTTGAATCCAGGACACTCTAAATATTAATTGTACGGCCACGTTTTTTTTTTCTTTTGGGAAGATCTGATGCAGTGAAATGAATCAAATAAAAGAGGAGGAAATACTCATTTGGCTTATCCTCCTTCCTCCCTGCCCCATTCTCTCCACTTCTGTCCCTCTCAGCACTTACTGCCTTTTCTTCTCCACTCTATCTACCGCACAGATGGAAACCAGAATGCGGTTTACCAATGCTCTGTGCAGTAACGATTGCTTAGTGTAAAAAACTCTATCATATGCCTTTTTGAAAAATGGCTTATTTCAGTTTTACACTGAGCAGTTGACACTGTACTTACATCTCAAGTACATATACTTTTTATGTATATTTTTCAAAATGGTTTTGCTGTGCTGTGCTAGGTTGGTAGTTGAATACCTGGATTGTGGTATAATTGGATTTTCTTTTTTTTTTTCCCTTTTGCCAGGAACCGAATCCTGAGGATCCTTTGAACAAGGAAGCTGCCGAGGTGTTACAGACAAACCGACGGCTGTTTGAGCAGAACGTGGCAAAGTCCATGAGAGGAGGCCATATAGGAAATGTCTATTTTGAGAGATGTCTCAAATGATTACTGCTTGACGTGTCTGTGTTAGTTTGAGTATTCTTTATGAGCAATTCCTTAATGAAACAGTGGTTTGTAATGGAACATGATGGACGCATTTTTTTTTTCATCCTGTCGATGATGGTTGCTGTGAGTCATGTCCTTTTCTGCTTGGTTCTTAGCCTTAATCATACTCTTAATATATAGAAATGGAAAGAATATCGATATAATCGAAGGGAACTGAGAGTAAGCGTTTCCGTGAAAGAAATCATCTTTTGCTGTGTCAGAGTTTATTTTTTACACCAAGAGTAACAGGCAGTGAGATACTAAGCACTGCCCTGTCAGGGTTTATTATTACACATGGCTCTTTAGTTTTGCTGCAAGGTACAAGTGTTGTTCGGAAGGTAAAGTGAAAATGGCCACAGAATCTGTAACTTTATTGCGATAAAAATTAAAACTTTCACGTGAGATGCTTACATTATGGAGATACTTTTTTTGTGTAGTTGCCTTCAAAATTTAATGAAGTTTTTCCCCCAACAATACATGAAAAAATAGATGCCCCTTTTACAAAAATCCACGTCAAGATTTTGATGCCAAGTTTTCATTTTGTTGATTAAGTATTCATCTTTGCAAAGTTTTTGCCGGCTATCTTTTGAAGGTTTGAGAGAGAAGGTGGTCAGAACGGGCCAGATCAGGACTACAAGGAGGGTGTAGCAAAACCTCCCAAATCTGCTTTTGAATCCACTGTTTGGTCATGTTTGCGATATGTGGGGTGGTGTTGTCTTGCTGCACAGTGACTCCTTTGCTCAATCGTCCCAATCTCTTCTGTGTCACTGCTTCTCTCAGTTTGTGAGTTTCACAGTCGCAGTCATTGTGGACAGTTTGACCTTGTGGTACAAAGTCTACTTGCAGAACTTTTTTTAAATGTCCCTGAACACTGTTCTTGCTATCTATGTCGAACTGAAGGGTGCACTTTGAAATTTTTGGTTGGAGGAATGATGGATGTTTTTAGAGTCATTGAGTCTCTATTATTTGTTTCTGGTTTCATGTAATGAAACCATGCCTCATCACTTGTGATAATGCATTCAAGAAAGTTTCTGTTACCCCTACAGAAATCAACATCTGTCCCTTCAGCATTGTCACCACACCACCACTCATGCATCGTTCCAGAAGTGTCTTGGATGCCTGCACATACTTCACTTTCTGCTCTTCTGTCAGTTGTTTAGGGACCTCATTGAGATGGTAGTTTGTGATATCCCAGATGGATTATCATATTCTGAACTGCAGTTTATGGGAAATCTAGTGACAAGGCAATATCATGCGTTTGAATACTGTCCAAAGTCAAGGATATGTACATCAATCTAATTCATGTTGCTTTGTGACATTGAAATTCGTCCTTCAAGTTTTACCACGTTTCTCTGAACAAATTGCAACAGTAATATACCTGTTTTTTCACTCTTGCCATCATTGCCATATATAGGGCCACTGATTCAGAGTAAATTTTCAGATGGATTGTTCCCTTTTGCACTAAAAAAACAAACAACAGCTCGAACTTCAATCTTTGATCATTCCTAAATGGTGGCCTTTGTGTTTGTTGTGTTATTACAAGATACATTCATTTATGATGCCATGAATGAGGTAGTTGGTGCGTGTAACGTTTTTCTGCAATATGTTTTCCTTTTTAAGATTTAGAAGAATTGATTAGTCTTTGATCTTTTTTTTCCCACCTTACTTTCCGAACAACACTTGTGTGTATGAAGTGTGACTTGAATTTTTTACGCTATTTTGGCCCTTCGTGTTGTATGGATGTGTGCGCAGGTGTATTTGTGTGCTTATGGTTGAATGTGCATGTGTGAGACTGTTTGTGAACTAGTTGTGTCATGACTGGTCTTGATTTTTGTCTCTTAAATTTCAAATTGCCCTTATTCTGCCCTTTGTCATGACATTATGTTTCGTCCCTGGGATAAAATTAAAAAATGCATACAATAATTATAGAACAAATGTGTCATCTTGATTCTTCTGCTTATGGTACTAAGGGAAATGTTATGTTTACTCCAGAAGTTAATCAGAAAAACTCCAAATGTTGCTGATGTTGTCAGTTTTAGTGAGTGCAGTGAGGTGAAAGATGTCTCACCAGAGGTCCTCCTTTTTTAAAATCCTTATCATTCTGTTTTATTGTTTTATTGTTTTATTGTTTTGATTGTTTCAGTTTTCCCTCAGGACTAAGTGACTGTTTTCAGGTCAATGTTTTTCTCCTCACCTTAGAACTGTCAGTAAGTGATGTGAACATTGCAACACCTTGCCTTAATTTACTAGTTTAACTGTTACAATGAAACTGTTTCATTTCATTTCTTGAATCAGTATGTCTTGTGACGTACTCACAAGGTATGACTCTTTCACTGTGTAGAAGATTGCAGAACTATTCTCTGAAACTTTATCAGAACAAGCATTTAAATCTGCCTTGCCTTAACACAACTCCCCTCCCCCGGACACGGATTGTGTGGCCTTTGTAGTGCTGAAATCAGTTTTCTAACAACAATCGGAGTGAACATTTTTGAAAAGTGACAAGTAGACTTAGCATGAATGCTGTTTTACAGTACCACCATGATGAGGATTTGGGCGATGAATGTACTTAATCTAGTGATTTTAGTTTTGATTCTGATTCCTATATTGGCGGGTGCTGTGGTGTGGTTTGCTTCTTCTTTCCTATCAAGCATCTATTGTTGTTATCTCCCCTTCTTCTTTTTTATGCTTATATTACTCTCTTGTGGGGCTCATATGACCGTATGCAGTTGGTAGCGCTGTAAAACCTCTACTAAACTAACTGATTCCTATTAATGATGGACATGCGATAGTCATGTTCGATTTTCTCAATGTGCTGAATATGTCTTAATGATCAGGGTGTTTTTTAGCGAGATATAGGGATAGTACAGATGTTCCCCTCCTGATTCCTGGTACGTGGGGACAAAGGTTTTGCATCCTGTGCTCTGTGTGTGGGGAAAAGTGTTCAAAATAACTGCTCAAAATGTAGGGGGGAATCAAACCTATTCAAATTAAATGCAAATGCAAGCTTTGATTTTATACTTATGTGCTTACAGATTATTGCTTTTGTTCCAAGTCTTGAGCACATATATTGACATGCTCAGTCTTGTAACTGTAGAGATGTAGTTGTGCGAGCAGGGTGCAATGTCGGAATGTTGCTGAACTGTTCATACCAGAGTTTATGGTGTAATGGTTAAAACTACACTGTCTTACACAGAAGATGTGAGTTTGATTCCCTTGTGGAGAGAATTTTCATAGAGTATCTTGTTCTTTCTGTTCGGACATTTGTATCCCTCTCAGCCCAAGGTGGCCTTGACAGGCAGGGCTACAGCCTGCGTCCTAAATGATGTAAATTGTGTCGATGGGGGCATAAAATATGTACATTATTAAAAAAACCCAATTGTTCATGATGCCAACTTCTTTTTGCTTGGTATAGACTGCAGAGAGGACTTTGAGGTTTACAACAATTTTCAGAGTAGGCCAGTGGCTCCCAGTAGTGGGTGACAGGTGGGTGACACTTGTAGGTACTTTTTCTTTTATTTCATTGTTCATTTCACTGTGTTCTGGCTTGCTTTTTGCGTGCACCAAATGGATGATATGTCAATGTGCTCTTCTGTACTCAAACTCACAAAAAGTACCCTGCAGCTTCTGTTCTATTTAAAAATGCAGTGGGTTGTTGTTGGTGCTCTGGTGTGGTTTGCTTCTTCTTTCCCATCAAACAACTATCATCTATTGTCTTTATCTCCCCTCCTTCTTTTTGTGTTTGTTACTCTCTTGTAACTCCTCTAAGGTTTAACAATACTGTATTTGAGGTCTTTAAATCGGTTCCTTTCACTCTAACTGCTGCTTTTTCTCTCTTCATCCCTACTACTACTATCGTCATTTTACCTCTACTTCTTTTGTATGTTTGTCACTCTCTTGCGAATTGCTATTTCCGGGGTGCCTTGATAGTCTAAGCAGACTTTGTGCTGTTGAGGCTAGAGACTAGAGAGGTGAGCACAGTAGGCCTGATTCCCCGTTTGGACTTTAGACCTTTTTGTTGACATCCACCCCTTGTGTAATGTTAGTCTACACACACGACAGTAAAACTAGAGACGAACACACACGACAGCAAGCATTCTAAAT